ATGCAAATAGTCTTCCCTAAGTCCCATGGGGTATATTCTGATAGCTCTAAGGAATATATTACTATTAGCCAGATGTAGACTAGATGAGCTTTTGGTCTTAGCTACTCAGATACCATTACTAGAACTCATAAAATGACAGCTAACATTAGGGCTCTGCAGTATACAAATTGCTTTTCCATGCATCAGATAGTGACCATCAAAACTCTGCCTTTGGGGCTGGCACTGTAGCATTGTGGGTTAAGCCATTACCTGCAGTGCTGGCATCCTATATCAGCATTAGTTTGAGTTCCTACTGCTTCACTTCTAAACCAGCCTGGGAAAGCAGCAGAAGATGGCCCAAGTACTTGAGACCCTGCACCCATGTGGGTGACCCATATGAAGCACCTGGTTCCTGGCCTCTACCTGGCCCAGCCTGAGCCATCACAGCCATTTGGGGAACAAAATAGCACATGGAACAGATCTATTTCTCTCTCTTTCTCTCTCTCTCTCTCTCTCTCTATCTATCTCTCCCTGTCTCTCTCTCTCTCTCTCTCTCCCTCCCTTTCTCTCTCTCCATTTCTGCAATTTCACCTTTCAAATAAATAAATCTAAAAACAAAAACACAACTCTGCCTTTGTATTCTGAGGTTCTTTCCAGCTCTTCCATCTCATGCCTGAAACAACTGCATTCCCAGAAGGACCCACCCCTCCCATCCGCCTTGCAGTCAAGCTCCCAGCTTCTGTTTCAGGTCTCAAGACCTGGCTTTCTGGCACCATTTCTTGGATCGCATTGGGGGATAATTTTCCAGTCAGAGGAATTTTCATAAGGGATTTCATTGGAACCTAACCATGCAACAATTTTAAAGACCATAGTCATGGGCAATGTCGTATTCTGCTCTGTTTGGGATTTTGGTTTCAACATACCCCAAAGGCCTATTGTAATTAAGGGCTTGGCTCCCAGACTGGTGCTATTGGGAGGTAGTGGAACCTTGGGTTGTGGGCCTTGTGGGAGGTTCTTAGGTCACTGAGCATGTGCTCTTCATGGTAATTCTTGTGAGACCTCTTGAGTTTTCAGGAAAGTGTTGTATAACAGCCTTCAGTTTGGCTCCATCTGTTTTCTGCTCATGATCAGTGTGCGGCCATTGGCTCCCACCTGCACTCTCGCTATAATGTGATGCCATCCGCCTCCCTTACCAGAGACCAAAGCAATGGGGCTGCCTGATCATGGACTTAACCTTCGTATTCCAAGCCTAATAAACTTTTTCTCTTTGTAAAGATAGCTGCCTCTGGTATTTTGCTGTACTAATGCAAAATGAATTCATGTGATGACATGGACTTAAACTTGGAGTTAAATTTGCCTGAGGTTGTTCTTTGGCCCTGTCATATATTAACTCTGTGATCTTTTGTAAGGTATCTAACCTCACTGAGCCTCTTGAATAAATAAATATAATGAACAATTTGACAAAATTCTGTAAGGTATAAATTAATGACTTGGTTGGGGCTGGTGCTGTGCCGGCATCCCATATGGGCACCAGTTCAAGTCCTGGCTACTCCATTTCCAATATAGCTCTCTGCTATGACCTAGGAAAGCAGTAGAAGATAGCCCAAACCCTTGGGCCCCTGAACCCACATAGGAGACCTGGATTTAGCTCTAGGCTCCTGGCTTCAGATCCGCTCAACTCTGGCCATATGGTCATTTGGGGAGTAAAGTAGCAGATGATGACTTCTCTCTCTTTCTGCCTCTGCCTCTGCCTCTCTGTAACTCCGCCTTTCAAATAAATAAATAAATAAAATCTTAAAAGCAATAATTACTTGGTATATAGCAGGTGCTCCTAAGACGTTCATGTCCTTCATTCCTCTATAAGAATTTACCTACCATTTTTATAATAATTTTCTGTAAATATTTTATGTAACATTTTTGTTACTGAAATGTTTGAAGATAACTGTCGCTCCCCGTCTTCGTGGAGGAACGACACAGGACCCTGCGCTGTTCTTTCGTCTGCTCGGCCCTTCCCGGGTTTACTGCTGGTTCTTCCCGGGTTGGCTACCGTCCCTTCCACCTCCGTGGAAGGGTGGTTCCCCCTAGCCACTTTCCCCACTTCCACGGGGGAGCGGCACACCGCCGGCCGGCTCTCTCGGGGGCTGCACAGGTGTTCCTTCAGATAGATGTTCCCCTTAGATGTTCCTGGTGCATGTTGTCTCTCTCCTCCTTTATAGTCCTCTTCCACCAATCCCAACTCGGCTGCCCACACGCCGAGTACGCTGCTCTCCTCCAATCAGGAGCAGGTCCTACAGTTTATTGGTTGAACTGGAGGCAGCTGTGTAGAAGCTGCTTCTCCCTTCTCAGCGCCATATTGTGGGAGAGCAGATGCATAGAATAAGTCTTAATTCCAGTAACTTAGTCTAGTCCGAGTTGCTCCCCACAATAACAATAAGCAAATAAACTCAAACAAAAAGAAAGTGAAAAGAAAATAGGAGAAAAAAAAATTTTGAGATATCCTATTTGTATTTTAAGGTATTATTTTGCATACTTGTACCTTTCTACACACAGACATACACACACATATTAAAAAGGTCCCAACAGTTCATAATATTCTGTAATATATCTTTTTTACCCAACAATACATCATGGGGTTTTACTATGACTATAAATTCTTATGGTACTCATTCCTTAGGTTAAACAGTCCTTTATTATTTTTATGTAACCTATAAATGATTAGTGTGTACTTAGGTGGTTTCTAGTTTTTACCATTATATGCAGTCAAGCACTCAACATTGTTGTAGTTAATTGTAAATTTCTATCTTCATGTTTTCTGCCTTCAGTGGTGATACCTGATTGATTTTTGTCTTCTAAAATTAGTATTAAGTCATATTTTCCTGTTTTATATTTAAATATGTAATCTAAATAGATGAAACAACTCAAATATATAATTTTAATAATAATATAAATATATAATAATAGGGATCTAGTTTTTTCCCCAGGCAGGAACTGGTTGCCTCAATGTAATTTATTCAGTATTTCATTGTTTTTCTCACTGATATTCTGGGTGTCTGTGTCTGGTCTGTCTCTCTACAACATTAGTGCAATATTGTTTTGTTACATAAGTTTCTCATTTCTCATGACATTCCAGGGCATTTTTATATTGTTTTTGTACATTTATGTTCACAAAAATGTATTACTCAGAAACATCACTTTCCTTTTTCATTCAAAATTGTATTGTGAGTTGGGACCAGCATTGTTGGCATAACAGGTTAAGCCATTGCCTACAATTCCGCATCCCATATGGGCACTAGTTCAAGTCCTTGCTTCTCTACTTCTGATCCAGCTCCCTGTTAATGTGCCTGGGAAAGCAGCAAAAGTTGGCCCAAGTCCTTGGGCCCCTGCACCCACATGGGAGACCCAGATGAAGCTGCTAGCTCCTGGCTTCAGACTGGCCTAGCCCCAGCTGTTGTGGCCATTTACGGAATAAACCAGCAGATGGAAGATTGATCTCGATCTCTCTCTCTATCTCTATCTCTCTCTCTGTCTCTCAATCCCTCTCTGTAACTCTGCCCTGCAAATAAATAAATCTTTAAAAAATTGTATTATGACCTATGAAAATTATTTGAAAATGTCATTTAATATAACATTTCTTAGAGTTCAATTTTAGAAAGCAAAAAAGCAATGAGAAGAAAATTAAAATGACTCATAATTATATTACCCAAGTAATTTTTGTGAACATTCCAAAAAGTAGAAATCAACTATATAGCTAAAAAATTTTACATAGACAAGTCTAGTACCTGCTAACGCTAACTGATGGAGTAAATAAAGGGGAGAGTGATCCAACATGGGAAGTGAGATACTCAGCAGACTCATAGAATGGCAGATGTCCTAAATAGCACTCTGGCCTCAGAATCAGCCCTAAAGGCATTCGGAGCTGGCTGAAAAGCTCATGAGAGTATTTCAGGCATGGAAAGCCAAGACACTCTGGCAAAAGATCTCTGCGAGTGAGATCCCAGTGGAAAGAACAGGCCATCAAAGAAGGAGGTACCTTTCTCTGAAGGGAGGAGAGAACCTCCACTTTGACTATGACCTTGTCTAAACAAGATAAGAGTTGGAGAACTCAGAGGGCTTCCATAGCCTTGGAAACTCATGACTGGAGCATAGGGAGATTACTGATGCCATAGACAGGAGTGTCAATTGGTAAAGTCAACAACAGGAGTCACTGTGCACTTACTCCTCATGTAGGATCTCTGTCCTTAATGTGCTGTACATTGAGATTTAATGCTATAACGAGTACTCAAACAATATATTTCACTTTGTGTTTCTATGGGGGTGCAAACTGTTGAAATCCTTACTTAATGCATACTAAACTGATCCTCTGTAAAAAAAAAAAAAAAAAAGAAAGAAAGAAAGAAATTATCAATTCCCAACTTGACTCTCACTGGGATTAAACATGACAATAGGTCTGCTCTGATTTCATCATCATTTAAAAAAATCATCTATTATTTTTCACTTTATGTTTCTGTGTGGGAGCAAACTGTTGAAATCCATACTTAATGTATACTAAGCTGATCTTCTGTATATTAAGATAATCGAAAATGAATCTTGATGTGAATGGAAGGGGAGAGGGAGTGGGAAAGGGGAGGGTTGTGGGTGGGAGGGACGGTATGGGGGGAAAGCCATTGTAATCCATAAGTCGTACTTTGGAAATTTATATGCATTAAATAATAGTTTAAAAAAAAATATATATAAAAAAAAATTTCTCCCCTGGGAAAAAAAAAAAAATTTTAAACACTAAAAGAAAAAAAATAGAAAAAAACCTCTCTCCCAAAATCCTACCTAGCCTATTACCCTTCTTTCCAAAGTAAGCCAGCTTAAGATTTCTTTGTGTTTCTCCTAAAGATAAGTTTATTTTATGTGTTATTATATGTGTGTGCATGTAAATGTCTGATTCTGTGTGTACAGGCATATCTGTTTGTGAGTGTATTAATATTATGTACACAGAAATAACACATATTCTTCCTGTCTTCATTTCACAGTGTATATTGGAGAATTTTCACCATCAGCACAAAAACCCTTCCTCATTCTGGGTTATGGATGCTCATGTTTGCTATATACAGGTAGTAGCATTTGTTTTGCTAGTTTTTTATTAATGGATATTTAGGGGTTTTTTTTGTTTTTACTATTATAAAAAAGAATATAAAGAATAGCTTTATAAATCTATTTTAGTGTGTTTTTTCCAAGTATATTCATGGTATAAATTCCTAGTAGTGAAATTACTGAGCAACAAGACATATGCATGTTGAATTTTTTGTGAATGAGAAATAGGAAATTATCCTCTAAAAAAGATGAATCAGGGTTAGTGCTGTGGCACAGTGTGTTAGGCTGCCACTTGAGATGCCAGCATCCCATATCAGAGTTTTGGTTCAAGTACTAGCACTCTGTTTATAATCTAGCTTCCTGCTAATGCACAATGCAGTACATGATAGCTAAGTGCTTGGGCCCCTACCACTCATAAAGGAGACCAGGATGGAGTTCCTGGTTCCCGGCTTCAACCTGGCCAACTCCTGGATGTTACGGATATTTGGGGAGTGAACCAGAGATTAAAAGATCTCTCTCTTTCTCTCTCTCTCTGTCTCCCCGACTATCTTTGTCATTCTGCCTTTTAAATAAATAGATCTTGAAACAAATAAAAGGCTGAGTCAATTTATTCCACCACCAATAGAGATTATCTTTTTTCCTACATTCTTGATAGCATTTATGTATTTTAGTTTTTTACATATAATTTTGTATTTATCAATATTTTATATTTTATACAATTGGTAAAACAAAGCAATATCTCTCATTAGGAATGTTGTTAGTCACTTTTTTGTATTTCTAGTTTTGTGAGCCATGTGTAGTCCTATCCTTTATATATATATATAGATATAGATATATATATATATACACACACACACCCACACATATACATATACATATATATATTTGTCTTTGCCCAAATCAGCTCTTCTTTCCCTTTTCCCTTTGCAGGGGCTGTTTTAGGCTTGGGTTCTGGCTATGGAGGAGCAGGCTTAGCAGACAACTTTGTAGATCTCTGTGGCTTATCCTTCACCTTGGCCTTATCCCCTTTAGCATCCCCTTCAGTCTTCCTCTCAGGCATGCTGGCTGCAGCAGGACATAGGAAGTGGGAATGGGGATGCAGTGACGTGGCTTTTGATTGGTCCAAGAGTGACTCTTAACTCTTCTTCTTCCTATAAACTATTTTAAATGTTTTTCACATAAAATTAACACATCTTTTCTTTAATAGCTTTCAAATATTTTCATTAAAAGGCTTTTCCCCATATTAAGCTAATACACTTGCCTATGTTTGATATTTCATGACTTTTATATAATAATCTTTAATGTTTCATTAAAATATAACATACATATAGAAAAGTACAGAACTCATAAGTGTACAACTTAATGAATTTTCACAGAATAAACATTCCTAAGTAGCCAAATCCACATCAGGAAACAAAATATTACCAATAACTCTGAAGCTCATTTTATGGCCCTTTCTGATCATTGCTGCTCTCCCAAGATAATTATTCACTCTCTTGTCTTCTAATATCTTTGGTTAGCATTTCCTGTTTTTGAATTTTTAAAACGCTGAATCACACAGGATATATTCTTTTGACTGTTTTAGCTTAATGTGATGTTTGTGCGAGTCATCTCATTGCTATGTAGTATCCAATTTAGAAGTAGGTGATTTCTTTATCTCTTCCACTGTCAATGGATATTTGGATTGTTTCCATTTGGGGGTGATTATAAACAGAGCTTTTATAGACATGTCTTTGAATGAATATGTATACATTTTTTCCTCAGCTTCTACCTACAATTGGAATAGCTGAGTTCAAAGAATTTAAACTGCCACCAGCAGTATATACGAATTTTTCTTGATTCAGATTCTTAGCTCCACATTTTCCTTCTCATGGGTCTGAAGTGGTTTCTCCCTGTTATTCACATTTCACAGGTGACTAGTAAGGTTGGGCAATTTTTCATTTATCAATTTGCCATTAGGTATGCTTTTTTGTGAAATACCTTTGTAAGACTTTTACTCATTTTTTACTGGATTGTTTATCTTCTTTTTTGTGGAGTTTCAGAAATTCATAATATACTTGGTTAAAAGTCTTGTACACCCATGTATCTTCTCATTCTGATGCTTATCTTTTCATTTTTAATGCTATCTTTTGATAAAAGAAGTTCCTAATTTTAATATAGTTAAATTTATCAAATTTTTCTTTTATACTTAGTGATTTTTGTCTTGAGAAATCATCAATTCTTATTTATTTATAATATTTTAAAACAGATTTAATGAAATTTAATTGCAAGTAACTATACATTTTTAAGTGTATAATGTGTTAAACACCTAAGAGTGATGAATAATGTCCATTATTTTTGTTGTAGTTATAGAATTGTGGTTGCACATATATGTCAGAACATTAGGTTAATAGTTCAATATGAAGGAATTCTGATTTGTTTTTCCAGTCCTCTAACATTGGGCAATGAAACTGTTCATCTTTTTTTCCGTTTGTCAAATGTCGTAAGGATGAAACAGCATGGCTAAGCAGCAAACAATGGATATGGTTTGAGGGAGACAAGATACACTGGGTTGCTTGGCAATGCCATCATGTGAGGAAAGAAGAACGAGAGTGTCGCACAGGATGATGAGGAATATTCGAGCTATGCTGTGCTTCAGTAATGAGCTGTCATGTGCTGTGATATGCAGTTCTTACGTGAAAAAGTATGCCAGCAGCATAGCTGGCCTGGGGAGGTGACAGCTGCCTACTTTAGAAAAAGTGACTGAGACAGCAAAGAAAAAACCTTTCTTTCTATTCTCCTTTTTTTCTTTTTCTTTCTTTCTTTCTTTTTTTTTTTTTTTTTTGGACAGGCAGAGTTAGTGAGAGAGAAACAGAGGGAAAGGTCTTCCTTTTTCCATTGGTTCACCCCCAAAATGGCTGCTACTGCCAGCGCGCTGTGCCGATCCGAAGCCAGGAGCCAGGTGCTTCCTCCTGGTCTCCCATGCAGGTGCAGGGCCCAAGTACTTGGGCCATCCTCCACTGCATTCCCGGGCCACAGCAGAGAGCTGGACTGGAAGAGCAGCAACCGGGACAGAATCTGGTGCCCCAACTGGGACTAGAACCCGGGGTGCCGGCGCCACTGGCGGAGGATTAGCCAAGTGAACCGCAGCGCCAGCCTCTTTCTGTTCTTAAAAATGGTTTTTAATTGCAAGAGTTGCTCATTTTATTAAAATTCAGGAAATATTTGTGGATAAGGCAAACACAATTCACTATCCTGGTTCCCACTCCCCATAGAGAACTACTTTCAGACATTATATAAATTAGGTAGATATTTGTAGTCCATGCATCTTTATGTATTTAAGTCTATACACACACAAGCATACTTCAAAGTTTGCTTTGTTCATGGAAAATGGAATTCAGCAATAATTAGGACATTTTTTTTAAAAGCAATGCGGAGTTTTCTCATAGCAAAAATTTCCCATGAACTTTGTGTGTGTATATTTGAAGATAGATGATGATAGATAGATGAGTTTATTTTGTGAAACCAAGACTACACTAAGCATAATGCTTGACAACTTGCTCTTTTCATTTACTATCCTGAGGTTTCCTTTCCAGAGCAGAGTGCTACAGGGGTATCTGCTCTCCTCCGTCTCCAAACACAGCTCTGGGTGCAGCTGATAAGCCCCAGACTCAGTTTCAACACCTGTAGTCACTAGGATAGTTCTGGCTGACCTGCAGGCAGAGTGGCCAGCGGAAAGGCAGATTGCCTTGGTGAGGGCTGGCTGGCTGGGCACTGACCAGAGCCCCCTCTATAGCACTCATTGCCCGTATTCTCCCACAATCACATGTTCAGATTGAGGACTGCTTCAGCCACCTCGTACCCACTCCCCCGCATAGTTCTGCTACTGCTCCTCCAGATGATGGGCAGCTAACTCAGGAGCCTACAGAAGCCCGGCAATTCGCGTGTAAGAATGAAGCATGCTGAGTAGAAGAGTAGTGGAACTATAAGAACTGGACAGTGCTAGCTCTGTTTGAGTGGCAGACACCACCCTCACCGTCTGACTCCTCTTTGTGAGAATGAAATGTTTCCAAGTATCTATATTTTTAATAGAAACCAGAATTTCAAATTTTTATGAGGAAACTTCTGGTTTTCAAATGTTAGCAGCTAAGTTTTTTTTTTAACGTATCCTAATCTTTGTCCTTGATTTTATTTTAAAATAAACTTTGTATTTTAGAATACTTTTAGATTTACAGCAAAGATAGTATACAGAGTTCCTACATACCTTATGCCCAGTTATTCCTCTTATTCACATCTTATATTAGTGTGGCATATTCACAATTAATGGGTCAATAATGATAGGTTATTAACAATTTATTTACATTCCTTAGTTTTCACCTAATCTCAAGTTTCTCTTCCCAATACAGGATGTAAGATTATATCCAATACAGGGTATAAGATTATATTTAGTTTTTATGTGTCCTTAGGGTCCTCTTGGCTGCAACATTTTCTCAGATGTTCCCTACTTTTGGTGACCTAGAGAATTTTCAAGAGCACTACCTTTCAGGTAGAATACCTCTAAATTAGGTTTTTCTAGTATTTTCCTCATGTATAGACTGTAGTTATGGGTTTTCAGGAGAAAGGCTACAGATAAAAATGCCTCTCTCACGCAGCATAGCAAGGACACATATTATCAACACACTTTGTCATTGTTGATGCTGACCACGCTCACCTGGATGAGGTACTATTTGTCAGCTTTCTCCACCGGAAAGTTACTCCTCTGACCCTTTCATACTGTGCTGTATGAAAGGAAGTCACCCCACACAGCCTACATTTAAGGAGTAGAAAGTTATGTTCTACCTCCTTTGGGACAGTATCTCTACATGAATTCAAATAGCTTCCTCTCCACCTCCTGTTATTCGCAGCTTCATTTTCTGTGCTCCAAAAATAGTAAATAAGAAATTCCAGAAATGAACACTTCAGAAGTTTTAAATTGCATGCTGTTCTGAATCATATGATGAAATCTTACACCTTCACTCTCTGACCTGCCCAGGATGTGCGTCATGCCTGTGTCCACTATATCCATGCTATATATATTACTACTCATTTGTTACTTAGTAGCTGCCTAGGTTATCAGACCAACTGTGGTGATACCACAGTGGTTGTGTTCAAATAACCATATGTAGTGGCCTAGTGCTACATCATAACACCTGCACGATTCACTTCACTTCATCTCATCAAGTAGGCATTACATCATCTCACATCATAGCAAAAGAATGAATACAGTACAGTAGGATATTTTGAGAGACCATATTCACATAACTTTTATTATAGTACATTATTCTATTATTATTTGTTAATCTCTCACTGTACCTAGGTTGTAAATTTAACTATTTTTTTCTGGTGATGGCATTTTTTGGAAGCTTTTATTTAATAAATATAAATTTCATAGGTACAGCTTTTGGAATATAGCAGTTCTTTCTCCCATACCCGCCCTCCCACCTCTACTCCCATCCCACCTCCTACTCCCTCTCCCATCTCATTCTTCATTAAGATTCACTTTTAATTATCTTTATATACAGAAGATCAACTCTATACTAAGTAAGGATTTCAACAGTTTGCACCCACACAGACACACAAAGTATAAAGTACTGTTTGAAGACTATTTTTCTTGTTAATTCTCATAGTACAACTCATTAAGGACAGAGGTCCTACATGGGGAGCAAGTGTGCAGTGACTCCTGTTGTTGATTTAACAACTGACACTCTTATTTATGACGTCAGTGATCACCCAAGGCTCTTGTTATGAGCTCCCAAGGTTATGGAAGCCTTTTGAGTCCACAAACTCTGACATGTAAATTTAACTTTATTGTAGATATGTATGTAATGAGTATTTGGTACTATCTGTGATTTCAGACACCCACTACAGGTTTGGGAACATACCCCCGATGGATAAGGGGACAGCACTGTATTCGGAACATTGTATTTGGAAGATGGCAGCACCATCTTCCCTAGCTCCTGCTACCTTTCAGGCCTCACTCCTACCTGCTGCCTCGCTTTCTCACTACAGCTCATCACCCTGCAGATCAGCACTGCAAATCCTGTATGGTACCGTTATTTCTCTTGTCTCTTTGCTCTTCCTGCTCTCTAAACATGGATGTCCCTTGTCTTGCTTCCTTGCATACTCAGTTCCCCCTGACCCTCAAGGTTGCTCAGGTACCTTCTACTGTAGGAAAGTCTTCCCTGAACCCAGTTAGCAATAGAGGCTTTTCTCTGAGTCCAAAGATAATCCATGCATGGCCCTGCTGTGGCATTCATCTCTTATTTATTCTCAACTCTGCCCTGTTAGATGGAGAGTTCTTCAAGACCAGAAGCTGTCTTTGTACCCGCTTTTGTTTTCCCTGTGCCTATAACAGTACATAGATCAGATACTTAAAAATGTGTTTTGAATACATGAAAAAAATGCTCAGAATTCCAGAAATAAGGTTTTTCATTTAAATGTTCAAGCCTTTTGTCTTGTCAACAATTGCTGTGTTCTGCTAAATAGTATGGTTGTTGGGTGCTTGTATTACCCATTTTAGTAGCTCCAGTGCTCTGTCAGGGCTGGAGTCATGTTGTATTTTTCCCTGTAGTTTCTAGGTCAGTGTCCTGTACATAATAGATGCTTAACAGACCTTTGTTGAATGAGTTAATGAATAGATAAATGAAGCAAGAAACATAACTGATGAGTGAATCACACAAGGGAAGGAAGCATTATGGACTAGAAAATAAACTATAGAATTTTCAATGAAGTTGATTTGTAAGACCACTTAATACATTATTTCCAAATTTTTAACATGTGGAAATAAATGTTGCCATATTTTTGTTTGAGCTAAGAACTTTTAAAACAAAACTATTCTAAGTGAAAAAAGCTATTTTGTTCCTTAACAGCAGAAGCCCTATCCAGCCCTTAGATGGACCTTGCTATACATGACATTCCCTATTACTTTAAAAATAGATGATTACTGTATAACACAAAGTATATTCCTTTCTCCCCTTTAGAAGCCAAAAGCATGAGAATGGGCATATAGCCCAGCAGTTAAGCTGCCCATGTCCCACATTGGAGTTCCTTGGTTCGACCCCTGGCTCCAGCCTCCTGCTGATGCATACTCTCTGAGTATGCTCCAGTGGTTGGGTTCCTGCCACCCATGTGGGAAATAATAATTGAATTCCTGACTCCCAGCTTTAGCCCTGGCCCAGGGCAGGCCATTGCCGGCATTTGAGGATTGAACAAATAAGTGGGAATGCTCGCTCACTCTCTTTTCTGTCTCTCAAATAAATAAATTCTTAAAAGCCCAAAAGAGCTTAAGTCTGAGATTTTAAAACAAGTTTTCTTTATATAATAAAATATAATTTTTCTGAAGTATCCTTGGTTGGGAAGAAAGAAAAGAAAACAACCACTTTAGAAGAGGAAAACTGTCCTTATAATAAGATAGATTACCACTACCATCAACACCAAATTCAACTGTTTTTCCGAGGAACCGCCGTCAGAGGAAGCTGAACTAGGAAGGGATTCAGTTCTTTTGCTCTCCCCAGAAAGTTGTATGAAGGCTATTTCTTAATTAGTACTTGATTAGAACAACCTGTAGAGGGCGTACTTGCACCAAGAGCCATAGAGGTTTAAGCAATACTAAGGGAGAAAATCTTCAATTAAAACCAAACACTCCCAAGTCAGGAACATGTCTACCAGGTTGTGAACTGTCTTTAACTCAGTGACATTAGTCTTGCAGTGTGAAAATGTTTTAAAGCTTGCCTATTGTACTAATACATTGTATATATGAATATTCTCTGAAATAAAGATGAATGGAATGTTGGAAAAGAGGTAAATATGTTTATTTTAAAGGAAGGGTGGCTATGAAACTGTGGATGCAAACAGACTTAACTGTAACTTACTTGTCAGTGTGAGGTATAGTGCTAAAAGAATAGGGGTTGAAATCAAAGTGCTTGGGATTTGAACCCTGACTCCATCACTTAGCAACGGGATATTCACAGTCAACTTAGGAGCTTTTTGAGCCCTGTTTCCCCATCAGCAAATGGGACTAATAACAGTACCCACGTAAAAGAGCTGTGAGGATTACATAAACACTTAAAATGGAAATACTTTAAAAATTGAGACACCAACAAGCTCAAATCAGTCATAGTTAGACAAGCTTCTTGTCTAAATTCCCTCTCTCCCCTCTTCCCCTATCAGATAGCTGGAAATATTTCTTAATTGGATAAGTAAATTCTGATCTTTTTAGTAACTTCTGATGACCTAATATTTAACTTGATGCATGCACACATTCAGCTTCTCTTCTGTTTCTGAGTTTTTGTTTGCTTGTTTCCTCCCTTGAGGTGTTCACCACTCAACAAAGGATCCAATAAAATTACCAACCCAGCCTCAAACACTTGGTTCTTTTGGGGCATTTGTCCCTACATCTGAGCGCTAAAGAACAAAGAGAAGTAAACAAACCTTTCCTGAATCCAAAAGCTTCCTAAATTATTGAAAAACCCTTTGCTTCTGTTTCTTTGTGCACCCAATGAATTAGGCAAGAGATAAAAATAAATCCTTTCTGCTGGAGTTGGGACACTGCATACAGATCGGCTTCCCACAGACAGGGCCAGAGCCTGTGATTTCAGTCACTACTTTCCAGCCTCCAACTTTTAAAACAGCAGCAAACCTGAAGATGTTCAAACTTTAGAGCAGCCCTGCCACATGGTGGGGACAGAGAGCTGCCATCTGGGCCCAAGGAACTGATCCCTCTCCTGCCGGGTTACTGGGAGCCAGAATGACTTCCCCACTGTAGGAGGTCGGCAGGTGCAGAATGAACGCCCTGAGCACTTTGAGTTAAGCCGAGCGCCTGGAATCGGCACCACCGGTTTCGGGTTTTAACCAGATGGGGAGGCGCAAAACAGCGCAGCAAGGAACAGAGAATTTAGGAGCTGGCAGATAGAGGAATGATGGAGGCGGAAAGGGAGAGGAAGAGGAACGTGCGCCTTCCGTTAGCACCTGGCTGGGAATGGGAGTCATCACCATCATCGTCGTCGTCATTATCACCACCATTAGCGCTCCGTCACGCCCCGCGTCCTCCGTTCACCTCAGGGGTCCCTTCGAGCGCCCTTCACCGAGTACGCCCCCTTTTGGCGCGCGCTCCACCCGGTGCTCGGCAGGCTCAGCGCGGACACCCGGGTGCCCCGCGGCCCCGCCCCACGCGCCCCCACAGCGCCCCCAAGCGGCGGCCAGCTCCGCCTCGCCCGCCCCAATCCTTGCTCGCACCTCGCCGGTGCCAGCCTTTCCCGCTCTGCCTCCCTGACTGCATTGACCCTCGGCGTGCTGGCATCCTCGGCTTGCCCAGGCTTACGTCTCTGCCGTCCCCCTCACCCCCTCCGTCCCTCCACCCTCCTCTCCCGCTCGCCCAGGCTCCCCCGCACTGGAGCTGGGAGGCTACAAGTCCAGCCGTCTAAGTGCGAACAGCTCGGGCTGAGGCAGCTGAAGCCGAGCCGAGAACTTAACGGCCGCAGGTTGGGGCGGTGCGGCGAGAGTTTCACCACCAGCCAGGAGGTGCCGAGCAGCATGGCCGGGAGAAGCCCCTTCTCTGCCGCCGCGTTCCGGCTCTGGAGCATCCTCCCGTGCCTGCTGGCGCTGCGGGCAGAGACCGGGCAGCCACAGGAGGAGAGCCTGTACCTGTGGATCGATGCCCACCAGGCGAGAGTGCTCATAGGTAAGCCCCCGCTTCCAGCACCATCCCCTGCCTGGGCCCTCGCGCTCTCCACAATTCCCGTTTAAGAAGGTGGGCTACCTGCCTCTGGAATGTTTTCAAACTTAATTTCCAAGGAAGACCGCAGATCGCGCCCCCTTTAATTAGTCTCGCGTATTTTCCACCTGAAAGCTCATACGCTCCTCTCCCAAGAATCCCAACCTGATTGTGTGTTTTGATCATGCCGTTGCTGATCTTCACAGACCTACATGTTGGGGCGCACCCAGCGTTTGTTTGCATCAGTTAACTCCACATCTATTCCCTTTTCCTGAAAGCATGTGTCGCTCAGCATCGTTTTTATAATCTACAGGGGAAAATTAATCCCAGTGACGTTGTTGATACCAAAGGCAGGTGCTCTGGTGAAAAGCAATGGCCCATACTGATTCTTTGGTTATCTCTTTGCATGAAACTTCTGATTTGGGTTCTTTCAAGTCTGCTTGGTTTGATAGCTTTTATTTATTATTTAAAAAACAGGATTTGAAGAAGATATTCTGATCGTTTCAGAGGGGAAAATGGCCCCCTTTACACATGATTTCAGAAAAGCACAGCAGAGAATGCCGGCTATTCCTGTCAATATTCACTCCATGAATTTCACCTGGCAAGCTGCTGGGCAGGTAAGTTCTGATAACCAGAAAGGGTGAGGAAATTACCCCTTAACATTGCCACTGCCTCTTGGCAGGCAGAAATAATATACTCTGGAACATTTTACAATTTTTAGGAGTATCTTTTATGATTGCCAAAGCAAATAGAAGATTAATTCCCATTTGTTTAAAGTTGTCACACATAAAGACTGAAAAGAAAATGATAAGCTATGTGCCCAAGCTCACTGTTTTAATAAACTTCAGTGTCATGAGGTTGCTAGAAATATTTTATATATAGACCTCAAATATGAACAGAACTGTGTTTCAGTGATCATTGACATAAAAATTTAACATAACACTTAAAAGATTCTTCCCCCCCCCATCGCATGTACATTATCTGCACTTCACAATACATTTTAAAGTCTAAAAGTATTTTTGACGTTGTACATTTTGAAAAGTTGGTATGTTCAATGTTATTCATTAGAATTTGAATGTTATACATTTCTGGTAGCAATTCATAGAATCAAAAGGTGTCATGTAAGAATGTTGTAAAACATTACAGCATAGTGACTTTTAAAGTTACCATTTTAAATACTTTAATATGGGAAAAAAGAACTGCAATCTGTGTTTTGAAAAAGTGTTCCTTTTATTCCTTAGCACATTAGCATCTTTCTGTTTTGTACATACCCAGCATTATATTAATGGTCTCTAATTTTGAAAAGAAAAGGGGAATAAAATGCTTATGAGAGTTTAACTTCCATGCAGTTGGAGAATTTTCTAGAGAGGACAAATGGTAAGTAGTAAATTCTTTTGCTCATTAGGTGGTAAAATGTGTCTGCTGTGAAAATCATTGTAATTATAATTAAAATCATACTTTCAGGTCTTTCTTAGTCCAAAATTGCTTAAATGGCTATTTCAAGAAAAATGAGATCCACAAAACACTTCATAAAAAGTAACTATTTTAAATTGAGAGACCACTTTGTTTCCCTCTAATTACCTGTTATTGTGTGAGCATGACTATTTAGGGCTGTCTTTTTTCCCCTCAGGTTTCTTCTGTTTTCTTTCTTTCTTCTGAAATAGATCAAATCTAGACCTCTCTATGACTATGGGAAGGAAGAAGAGAGAGAGAGGGAGAGAGGGAGGGAGGGAGAGAGGGAAGGAAATGACATTTTGAGTACAGGGAGGTTCATGATAGGAAGCTCATCTATTCTTTTTTTTTTTTAACTTTTATTTAATGAATATAAATTTCCAAAGTACAGCTTATGGATTACAATGGCTTCCCCCCCCCCATAACTTCCCTCCCACCCGCAGCCCTCCCCTTTCCCTCTCCCTCCCCCCTTCCATTCACATCAAGATTCATTTTCAATTCTCTTTATATACAGAAGATCAGTTTAGCATATATTAAGTTAAGATTTCAACAGTTTGCACCCACATAGAAACACAAAGTGAAAAATACTGTTTGAGTACTAGTTATAGCATTAAATCACAATGTACAGCACATTAAGGACAGAGATCCTACATGAGGAGTAAGTGCACAGTGACTCCTGTTGTTGACTTAACAAATTGACACTCTTGTTTATGGCATCAGTAATCACCCTGGGCTCTTGTCATGAGTCGCCAAGGCTATGGAAGCCTTTTGAGTTCACCAACTCTGATCATATTTAGACAAGGTCGTAGTCAAAGTGGAAGTTCTCTCCTCCCTTCAGGAAGCTCATCTATTCTAACACCCCATTCAGACAAGTCCACTGAAACCACTGTGGCTCTATAGGAAGATTATTCCTTTTCACTCTGTAATTCTCTCTTTACTGATACTTTATGGATAATTAAATCTGGAATATTCTAAAGTTAGTAATAAATCAACAAATAGGCTTTCATTGTTCCTTTTTTTTTTCACCCAAATCTATTTACTTGTGGTTGACCACTCAGATGAACACAATGTAAATTCTGAATTTTTAGAAAGACATATTTAGACTTATACTTTTACAGATACTTAAGAACCATCAGAAGTTATCTTGAATTGCACCTCTTTCCCCAAGATGAAAGAGTTTGGTAACTGTAGGAGGAGCAGAGAATGTAGATAACTCTGTTATTCCTTTTGCTTCTCTCTTTTTTGCATATGGGTTTGTCTTCTGATGAATTGAATTTGAAGCAAAGGCTTCTATTCCATGTTATATCCTCTTTTTTATAGCATAGAGCATATTTGCAAATATTGGCATATTTTTTAATACAAAACAGGTTGACATGTCAAGCAGCCTCAAGGATTTGTCTTGTAGGAGATGAGGGAAGATAACAGAACTGACATGAAGATGAAGCTTCCAGCATCTTTTTGTCACCACGAGGATTATCCCGGATGCCAGACAATGCTAAGCACTTCAGTTAAATGACTTTGCTGTCTGTGCTCGGTCTGCCCTGGATAGGTCCCCACAGGTAACCACATGAAATCTGCTGTCTTTCTTAGGAAAAAGAGTGATAAAGAAGGAAACTCTACATGTGCTGAATCGCAGGATGTTTTCAGATATTTTTTAAATGTGACTCATTTTACTCACTGAATTTATGTGATTCTAACTCCAAAATATTTGAAATGCATGGACATTTTGAAGATGGGAAAAATAATTATCTCCATAGCAATTAAGCATTTTTGAAAGCATCTATGGCTAAAACCAAACCACATCAAAACATTTATATTGAAAATAAAAAATTCATTCCACCATTTAATTATTTCATTCATTTGGTATAAAATATTTAGGTGTTCCAATAACATTATTAAAGCATATTGCTGATTAATGAAACTTTAAGCATTTTGGCATCACGTGGATGAAGTTAAAATACTTTAGGATTGAAGCAGGAAAGAGTTATCAACTTCGAATAAATTACTAATTCAGGATCCCAAAGTGTTCTTGAGATCATTAAAAATAATCCTTATATTCTATTTTAAATAACAAATAACAATTACAGTGAGAGTCATTTCCCCTACATCAAGTTAGTGACATATATATGTTAGTTTAAGTTAAGAGACAGAAAAGAGAAAGAAAGCTCCCATTTGCTAGTTCAGTCCCCAAATACCCATGATGGCCAGGTCAAAGCCAGTAACTGGTAATTCATTCCAGTGGCAATGGCCTAATTACTTGAGGCATCATCTGCTGCCTCCTAAGGTCTACATTGGCAGGAAGCTGAAGTCAGGACCTGGAGTTGTGATTGGAACCCAGATACTCTGATATAGGACACAGCTCTCGTATTCAATGCCCACCCTGGCTCAAGTCTTTTAAGAGTGCTTTTATTATGTGGAGGATTGTGCATGCTCATAGGCTGCTGATGTGCATACCAGCCTTTTTGCAGGGCAGCTTGGTATGGATCCTATGACTAGGAGATTTTACTTCCAGAGAGTCATAATAAGGAAATGACCATGGACAAGAATAAAAATTTAGGCCCACTGATGTTCCTTACCGTGCAGTTTTTAAAAGTAAAAACATGGATACAACCTAGAGGTCTAGTGATATTGTAAGAATGAAATGAAGTAATAAAAAGGATATGCCGGCCGGCGCCGCGGCTCAATAGGCTAATCCTCCACCTAGTGGCGCCGGCACACCGGGTTCTAGTCCCGGTCGGGGCGCCGGATTCTTTCCCGGTTGCCCCTCTTCCAGGCCAGCTCTCTGCTGTGGCCCGGGAGTGCAGTGGAGGATGGCCCAAGTGCTTGGGTCCTGCACCCCATGGGAGACCAGGAGAAGCACCTGGCTCCTGCCATCGGATCAGCACGGTGCGCCAGCCGCAGCGCGCCAGCCGCGGCGACCATTGGAGGGTGAACCAACGGCAAAAAGGAAGACCTTTCTCTCTGTCTCTCTCTCTCCTGTCCACTCTGCCTGTCAAAAAAAAAAAAAAAAAAAAAAGGATATGCCAGACATCTATGTGAGGCCACAGATGACAAATCAAGTAGTCTACAACACAGTATAGTCCATTTGATTACATTACAAAATAATTGGCAGACATGGAGGAATTGTCTGATTCGCCAAAGTGTAGACATTGCTTATTTTGTCATTGATTACATTTTGGTTTTTCCACAATAAATGTGTATAATTTACAATTTTAAAAATTATTTTACATTAAATGTGTATATAAAAGTTGTATGAGTTTAAGATTGTATGATCTGTTATTAGGAACACTTTATGTTTGTCGTTGTTATCATTTTCACACTACAAATCACTCAACAAAGTGATAAACAAATGGTCTTCATGAGTGACCGTAGCTAAGAATTCACTGGTGCTTATACAAGTTTCTTTTATAGTGCCCAAAAATCTGTTTTAAAAGACTTTCTTGCCTGGAATTGTTTTACCTGAACGTTCTCTTTCCCTACACAATTCTTATTTTCCATGAGTAACCTTGCTACTATTTTCTCTCACATTTAAAATACTCATTTTCTGTTGTGCATCTTCTCAAGGCTTTTAAATGACAGAAGAATTTCTACCAAAGAGGCTTAGGCTTACAGTGGTTTTTAGCAATTAAGGGGAAATATATCCTTTATGATTTTGTATAGCTTTTTAATAGTTGATATGTTTTGGTGAAGTACACCTTATTCTTTAACCTAAATCTAGACTGGCAGGAGCCATGAGCAACCATTTTTGGTCTTCTAAATTAGGCTGTAATTAAACATTTTATTTGGAAAATAATGCTTTCTAACCCAAATGGCTTTCAAGTAAAACTCTAATGAGAATTTTTGTTAGACAACTCTGAATTCTAACATTAGGACACCACTGCAGATTTCCATATTAATCAGTTTGGTATAAGGCTAAAATATGTTATTTAATGTAGTAGCTCAAAAATAGGCCTTTATTTGTAATGATCATACAGACTTGATCTTGATAACTATAAAATGTTCTGTCACCTGCATATGTTAAAGACTATAACTCTAGTATTTCATTGATAGATTGTCTTTTTGAGTAGTAGTGATGGATTTATGCTAAGCTATCTGTACTAGTTTCCTCAGCTCCTTGTGACCTGGATTTCTGAGATGGATGGCAATGGTTTAGGTGAAATTGGTT